CGTACCTATAGGTATATAAAATGAATTGACGCAGTTTGTATAATGTATCTTATTGATTTTGTCGCAGATTGTATAATGTTAAATTTTTATTTGTAGCAGTTTATATATCGAATTTTAGAAAAAGGTTAATTTTTCCACAGTTTACCATCTCCCTTTCCTACATATTACACCCCTATTTCATTATTTTTAGATTAACTAAATCTCACCTAAAAAAAAAAATGATAGTGGTGAATTGAGTCACGTCTAAAATATTGAATGTTAAATTAATAATAAATAATAATATCAATATTCAATAATAATTATAATTATAATTACAATTATAATATTATCTAATATCTAATGTCAATTTTAAACAGGTAAATATTTAAATGATACAGCTTATTAAAGTCAAGTTTAGTTATTTTATTATTCTATTGTAATTCGTTATTAAATTTTATCCTAATAATTTCTCTTTTTTGATTTTAGATTTTGAGTGAAACGATGAATGTATTGATTTTACAATGATGTGTGTTTTTTTTTTTGTGTCTGTCATCACGTTTTAGGAAAGTAAAAGTGCTTGGATTTTCTTCAACAGTAGCTTTTCTGATAGGAAAGTGAATCTAGTTGGTACTTTGGGGGTCAAAAGTAAAAATTTCCTAGTAGTTTTCACAAGCGCCGGGAAAAACAACATAAAAATTAAGGAAAAACGGTTTTCCAAAAAATCGATTTTGGTTTTTGGTGTAACTCTAAAACAAATGAACGTATATACATGAAATTTTCACTGGTTGTTTATATTAGCATTTTCTATACACGATAACATTTTCAAAATATTTTGAACTGTTTAGGGACATTTTCATTTTTCATTTTTTTTTAGTTTTTTTTTCTATAAATATCAATTAGGTTTTATCTGTTGGGCCAAAAAGTGTAAAAATTTAATACAAGGCTCCTGATATATTGTTACAATAGCAGTTGAAAAATATTAAAAATACATAGGCACAGTTTTTTTTTATAAGCATTTAAAGATCGAATTTTGACAAAATTTATCAAAATCTCGAAAATTATCAATCATTGTAATTAATAAATTATAAAATATTCAGTTATAGCTAAGGATTGCAAATTTAAAACAAAGGTTCTCATAAATAGTTCATACTGTAACCAAAAAATCTAAAAAATATATGAACACAGTTATTTTTTACAGACATTTTAAATTCAAATTTGGCCGAAATTACATATTAAAAAACCTAGAATAACTATTTTAGTTATTTTGTTGTGATTGAATAATATTATTCGTGGGTACCTACTTGAAACTTCTAAAGTGTACTATTATGTATCTATGATAGTATCACGGTTTTTGTTGATGTATAACGCGTTATAAGTACCTAATGGATATTGTGATATGATTAATTTGGAATTTATTACAGGTACCTATTATAGGTCAAATTTTGGGTAAACGGTCACTTTGTACGGTCCATTGTTCAAAATGTACAACGCGGACACTTTGTACGGTCGAGTAAAATGGTACATTGCAGAACGCGGACACTTTGTACTATTATAAAGTATATATATTATAAATATAAGTTATATACCTAAGTTAGCAAGTAAATAACAGACATACGTAAAAAAATTATATTTTGTACCCACGAATTTTAATTTTTAATTAACGACTAAAAAATTTCTATAGATATACTTCTGGAAATATATTTTCTAATAAATAATTTTCAGTTAAAATATTTTCCAAGATAATATTTTATGCAAACATTTTTTATGCATCATAACATTCTGTAAAACTGTGTTCTGTTATATTCCATTCTGGAATTATACACTTTTCGAATTTCTGCAATATCAATTTCTGTATTTCTGTATTTCTACTGATAATAATTCTTATCAGTTTACATTCTGTAGTATTTATTTTCGTTCATTTTATTTTCTGTTCAAATATGTACTGGGCTTTTTATATTCTGGTTGTTTTCAATTCTGTAATATTATTTTCTGTTATTTAACATTCGACAAATCTACATTCTGGCCGTTTTTTTTCTGGAAAATAACATGCGTCCGATATAGCCACAGCGTAATAAATAATATGTCGATTTTGAATCGCGGAAAAAAAGCCCACGGAAAAAAAGCCCAAGGAAAAAAAGCCCAGAAAAAAAAGCCCACGGAAAAAAAGCCCAAAAAAAAAATACACTGAGGAAAAAAAGCCCACGGAAAAAAAGCCCAGAAATACAAATATAAATGTGAACAAAATATAATAATATATTATTATATATTATAATGAAAATAATAATTAATTGTTAATTATAATAGTAATAGTCACAGCAGGTCAGTCAATTTTCAACTGTAATAATACAATAATAATATAAATATTTTGTTGGGTATAGTGTGATACTGTAAATTTTGAGATCGGTGTATAATTCTCCAGTACATTTCATTGAACACCTCTGAGAACACCTCCAGGTTATTTTTGATACGCCAATATACTTTACAACATATACATAACCTTTGTAAAAACCTTTGTTACCACCTTTATTTGATTTGATAATCTCCTTATTCACAAAAATTGGTAAAACAAAAGTATAAAATATATAACAAATGTATAACTGGATAAAACTGTACTAGTAGGACGTGTAGATAGTATCTCAATAACCAAGTAATGGAGTACTATATGGAGTGTCAATATTACCCAGTTATTGATAAATTTTAACATTTTGACTGGTTATATATATAAATTATATTGGTAAGTACCGAACAATATAAATTAAATTAAATGTAAAAGTGCTTATCAATAGTTGGGTAATAAAAATGCAATTTATTGACAGGTGGTTCATCAGTTCATGGCAGTATCAAACCCTCTATATAATAATATACCTTAATAATATTTCTTAAATTAAAATACATTAAAAATTTTCAATAGTTATATATTATGTATAAGTCATATTTGAAATTTTAATATTTTCTTTTATAAAATTACCTATATATGCCTCTTATACAATTATTTATGATTATTATCTGTTATAGTATAGTAATGTATTATTAATATATTATTATATTTTGTTCACATTTATATTTATATTTTTGGGCTTTTTTTCCTTGGGCTTTTTTTCCGTGGGCTTTTTTTCCTCAGTGTATTTTTTTTTTTGGGCTTTTTTTCCGTGGGCTTTTTTTTCTGGGCTTTTTTTCCTTGGGCTTTTTTTCCGTGGGCTTTTTTTCCGCCTACCGTCGATTTTCGATGTTATCACTTATCATTACCATTGTACAGGCAAAATATGTGAAATGTGTATGTTTATATCACAGATTTCTGTATATTATTACAGTTATTTATTACAGTTTATTATTATTGTAGTATAGACTATAGAAGTCTGTGGTTTATATACCTCGATGGTATGTTCACAATCACGGACTAAGATATACAGGACTGGACACGAGATGAATATTGTGGTTACGAAATGTTTTACAACAGGCGGAGTTCGGGGGGATATTTTCCTTTTAGCATTACTAGCGCCGTCTTAGTGGATACTTATGGAACTAGAAATTTGTATGAAGTGTTCTAGTTCCATAAGTATCCACTAGGATGGCGCTAGTAATGCTAAAAGGAAAATATCCCCCCGAACACTGCCTGTTGTAAAACATTTCGTAGTCAACCCCCCCACACCCTCCAACCTTGTCGTGTCCAGTCCTGTATATCTTAGTCCGTGTTCACAATAGTGTTATCACAAAATTGTTGTTTACTTCATCTGTAATCACGATTAAAGATATACAGGTTGCACATCGCCCTATAGTAAACCGCTTCCAGACTGATTTACAAAGTGACTATAAAAATCAGCTGTTAATAATTAACTAGTGGCGCTTAATGTCAACACTCAACCATATGTGTCGACATTTAGAACTAATTTTACAACTATATATCTATAATCGGTTAATTGTAATACTGCCGCTTGGAGCGCCACTGGTTAATTATTGGTAGTAATTTCGTATTTCATCTTATCAGTAGTCGATGTGCAACCTGTATATCTTTAATCGTGTCTGTAATCATCTTAATCTTAATCTTAATCTTAATCTGTAATCAACATAAAATTAAGACTTCCAAACAATCAAAACATTCAAAACCCATATTTTTAAGTAATTTTTTGTATTTCTATACCACGTACGGACTTGAGTTGTTACTTGTAGCGTAGAACAGTGTTGTATAATCGTATTTATTGAATAAATAAATATTGTGTAATAATTAATATTATATAATTAAATAATAATTTTATCTATTCTGTGATTATTTTAAGGATATTATTTAATATTTATTAGAAGATATCTTAAGAGTACTTGATACCTGCGTGTGTTGTCTCCGTCTTACAAGTGCATAACATGGCAAATTTGACGCAAAGCAGAACGCGTGTAGCTCCGTTGGTTTAAAAATTAGAGTTAATTGACCTCTTATAAAATCTAAAGGTAAGGTTATTTTAAAATTGTAAATTGTTTGTACATCTTAAAGTACTCATAACTCGCCTAAAAATTAAAATATAATAAAAAGCTCATGAGGTTGTCTAGAGAGTATCTTACCTTTAGATTTTATAAGAGGTCAATCACTCTAATTTTTAAACCAACGGAGCTACACGTGTACTGCTTTGCGTACAATTTGCCATGTTATGCACTTGTTAGACGGAGACAACACATGCAGGTATCACCTTAACCGTGGATATTATTATTATTATTATTTGGTTGTTCTATGATACCACGGCCAATGTGGATATATTATATATAGTTTATGTTTATTATATTTTATATCTGTACTATAGATGAAAGATAAATGATCTGTGCCCAGTGAATACATAATATAATAAAGATATCTCAAGACAAGAGTTAAGACAAGTTGATCATAGTTTATATGTCTGTAGTCTGGAACTCCGGAATCAAGATTCACCAAACAAGTACCAACTGTAGTGGTGTAGTTAATAACAGTCTGAACTGTTGTTATGATAAAGATCAAAGCGGTCTTAATTTAGAAACTAGAAACAATAATAGAGAATGCAATGAGTAAAGAAAAGATTTCGGGTATGATTCATTGTAATTAAAAATCAAATAACATAAATAATACTATTATTATACAGCATGTTTGTTGCGGGTTCTTTAATAATTGATTTAAAAAAATTTTATAGTTTATATGCTTTTATGCATTATCATATATTTAATTACCTACTATTGTTATACTTAACTTTGGTTGTTCTGAAAATATGTTTCAAGTTTTTGTATTTAAAATTTAAATGGTTTGAATCGACTTTTCAGATGTTAAAATGTTTAGCCAGAAAAACGTAGTTACAAATATTAAAGAAAATAAATATAAATAAATATTAGGAATTAAATACATACTAGATACTACATACTAGAAATTCGCTAGGCTGAACCAGTGTGAAAAATAATGGAGCGGGATGTTTGGACCATATCATTTACATGGTTCATTAATTCGGTGCGGGTTAATGTGGGTTAGTGTTAAACCTGTCTAGTTTAGCAAATTTTAGATATTGTACAAAACTTATACAAGAATGTATCGGTCTAGTTTCAGTTAACTCATTTTTTCACATATTATTATTAACAGTTAAAATAAAAACTATCTTATGTGTGTTGTAGATAGTGTATCTGTACTTATAGAACTTATAGAAGTATCTATTCATTGTATACTGTACGCAAGAAAAATATATCCAGAAGGTATTTTTGAACTAAAGAAGAAATACAATGTACCTGTCCATGTAAGAAGTTTTTTTTTTCCATAAAAACTATTTCAGTATTTTATCATATTATGATTTTTAAGGTTTCTATTTACCCTAAGTTAAATTCCTATATAAACGGTACACTCAATGCTGTCAAAAGTTTATTGAAATTAAAAAAATTGTGCAAATTGGATGTTTGTTTTTATAACAAGATTGGAGTTGTAGTTGAACGTTTCGTATTCAACATTCGTAATGTTGAACTTGAATTAAATTTATCAGATTTTGCGTAAGTATTTATTATTATGCTATACCTAATTATGTTAAATTAATGTTGATTTTTTTCATAAATAAGGAATTTAAGAGATCCATATTTAATAAAATTAGAACAAATGTTGAGAGCTTTCTGTTTAAAACTAACAGTTTGTGATTCTCTGTTGAAGCCTTTACCTCCAAGTTGTACATTTCAGATTCACATTCATACTACTGAAACAACGTCCATTGAAATTCAAAAGGATACAGAAGTATGTATTAATAATGATGTTTAATCCCCCTCCCCATTGTTTTATTTTGAAATATTTAACTATAATCGGTACAAAAATATAAATAACAACACTTTTTTTCAATATAAATATTTATTTAAAATTTGAAAAATAAAATATTTAATCGTGCTATCAAACAGAGTGATAGCACTACCCCTCTATGGGGCATCAGCAAGGGGTGGCCATATCATTCTAAAAGTGAAGCGAAAACGGGGTACTTGCAGTGCAACCATCATATGAAAAATAAATTGTTGTAAATATACTAATACATTATTTTATTTGGAATAATAAAAATTTATTTTAAAATAAGAAGAACAAATTTTACAAAAAAATATATATACTTGTGGTTCTTATTATAATATACAAATATATAATAATATTATGGTGAAATGTAATATTTTCGTTTTCATTTTTTTGTTTCTGAGTCCGAGCGCACAAAATACAGCTGACCATGATGATTTTAGGCTAGACTCGCGTTACTTACAATTTTACAAAATTTAAAATACAGTTAAAATTATAATTATATAAAATATAATTTAATGCTCAATTTCAGTTACACCATAGACCTGAGATAAAAATATAATGTCGTTATCCATTTATTCATGTCGAAACGCCATTAGTGTTCACTAGGTTGTAAGAGGGTACATGCGTCATTTTGCTTCGATTGATAATCATAATATCTGCCTAATGCCGCTCTATAGTTTTATACTATGGCATCAGATTGTCCCACTTTCATGGAGAAAAAAATATGTACAACTGAAAATCAATTAGCAGTAACACCAATACCACTATATTAATATTTAATATTATAATCATGGTTGTAGCCAGCCAAATTGTAATAAGTATTGTGGCAAAAAGCTAGGGGGGGCGGTCCAATCCCACCCCCGATATCCGCCACTGATTCATTAATTTAATTAGTTTATAGTTGCTCAGGAGAGAGTATAAAGGTTTTAGTTTTTTAAGCACTATTTTCAGGCTGCGAGCATTTGAAATGTGAATGTGCTTCTCAAATTGAATAAAACCCTTTTTTAGATTGAAAAGATTGTATATATGAAATCTAAGAAATCAAGGTGTATTGACGAGGGTTTATCATTTACTTGAAATTATAATTAATAAAACTAAATACTCCATTTTTTTCTGAAAAAAAATTAAACTATATTATAAGGCAATTAGCATTGAGCCATCAATACAAGGTCCTTCACGTAGTAGGAAATCACTGCAACAGTAGTAGTGATTTTTATCAACACAATGTCAATGTCTTTACGGGTACCAAAGTGGCAAAACTATCAATACATAATATACATCTGTGTATTGTTAGATACAGTGTGTAACAAATTAACTTAATTAAGTGAGTTTCGCTTAATGTGATCACTATAGTTCCAGGCCATTTTTATTCTATTATCCTATTAACAATTTATTTAGCTTGTTGAAACCATCGTAACAAATATTCTTCGACATCAGCATTTTATTCCGTTTTTGAGAAAGTCTACTTTTGTTCTCCATATTCAACAATTTCCTTAAGATTTTTTTAAATTTGGTTTAACGTAGTTAGTCTGGGAAATTTTCAGGGCTAATGCGTCAAAACAAGCGAGTAATTCTTTTTTTTTTTTTTGTTAAATCTTTCCTTTTGCTGCAAGTTCATTGAACTAAACGACGCAAGTACACAACGTACATAGATAAGGACGTGGTTTACAATGATACTCTCACACTGATAAGTTCAAAAATAAAATTGATCTCATAAAATATAAATTAATCAGTTTGTAATACCACAAAAACGATAGGAATGTTCATAAAAGTGATTCAATTATCCGGTACATAGTGATTCTAATGAAAGATCAATTTAACATCAGTAACATAAGATTTGGTTTGGGATTTTATTTTTTGATTCCAATGTATGGATGATTCTATAAACCAGTGGTCACATTAAGCGGAACTCGCTGTAGTATGAAAACTAATATAAAATTGTCATATTTTAAAACAATGAGAGCTTAACTCCTAAGTTCACCAATATATTAATGTGGCATAATTGGTATGGAATATAATTATTAATTTGTAGTTTTCACATTATACTTGGTGGAAAATCTTTAAAAATCATCTAATGAATTTTAATTTTTAGGAATTTCCATTAATACCTAGTGAAAAAAAAGATACAATTTTAACATCACCTGCAATAGTGCCAATGCGCAGTATTGATTGTGAACATTTAAATTTAGAAATATATGCTGAAGAAGGAAATAAAGATGAAGACCCAGATTTATTTACACCGAGTCCATTAATTTAAATACACTCAATATCAATATTGAATATATGATTAGAAATATGTTGTTCTTGTAAAAATTATAGAATTATTTTACAGACCAGTAACTATGTTAAATTTCATAAGTTATTTAGTAATATATTTGTTATATGATTATAATATATTTATATTGATTAGTAGTTAATAATAATTTATCAAAGATCCTTCCCCCAACTGGGTTAATCAAGATAGTAATTGAAAAATTAGAGACAAACACTGAAAAAGTTAAAGTAGCTAGTAGATAAAAATATAGAACATAATATTATAATAATTTAATAAAATATAATAGAAAGTCTGATTTTGGTATCTTATAAAATTATTGGAATTTAATTGGCCTCTTACAAAGTAAATGAGTCAATCAGTTGACTTTATAAATTTACATTTATTTTTCATAAAATATTAAGTTTCAATAGTGGCTTGGAAAGTAGAACCATTTTTTGCTTTTAATAATTTACTAAAAAGTAACATTTGATTTGTATAAGAATTTTTATAAAATAAATTTATTTTTCAGAAAATTCACTCGCTCCTCGAACCCCTCCAAAAATAATTTTGAATTTAAATTTCTTTGAAATGGGTATACCTTCACGTTACATAGGTAGTAGGTACCATCTAAAATAGAATAGTTTATTCTACATTAAATGTTCATTTATACCCATCTGATATTTTAACAGGTATAAAAAAAAAAGTAAAAAATTAAAAACATCATTGAGTATAACAATATTAGTTTATTTCATTTTATAGTTATACTCAAATACTCAATGATACTATTTAGTATTTATATAGTTATACTGTATTTATAATCAATGATAATAAGTTACACGGGTTACATAATTTTTTATACCTACATAATATCTGGCCATGGGTACTTATTTTCTATTTAGTATTTATATAATAAAGTATATACTAAATCAAGGGGATGGGAAACTTTTTTAATAGAAGCTAAAAATAAAATAGGAATACATGTTTTATCATTAACCTGTTGTGTATGAAATACCAATTTTAAACCGGACAACCATGTCAACCGTTGAAGTTATAACAGTCCACGTCACCTAACATAATAATATAATGTGTATCATAATCCATCGCAAGTAAATATTGTTATTAATCACCTATAAGTATAGTTTTGGATTTGACATTGCTTCAGAAGAGTTTGCACAGCGCAGTTGTACAAGTTAACATTGATTGACATATACCGGCAAATAATAATAAAAACCACAGTGAATCAACAATTTTTCAATTGATTCTTGACAAATTTATTAACTTAGTCTTAACACAAATAAATAAAAAAACCTTAATTTTCCTTGATAGAGACAGAAGAGATACAAATTTTAATGATTTTTTAATTTGGTCTGCATTAAATGAAATTGTAATTTCTTATTGATAATTTATAAAATACTCAACTACATAAGACTTATTGTAGTGTTCATAGTGTTTCGATATTATACAAATTCTTCAGCTCTTAAAGAATTCATAATATTATATTGATCAAATTTAATATTATTAATAAAAACACCTCAAAGTGTACTTTTAGCATATTAAGTAATATTGAAAAGTAATTGCATTACTACTGTATGTTGTTGAACTATTTAAATGATGATACATTTTTTCTTATGTTCTTATGATATTCTGTTTTAGTATAACATTTGAAGAATGTATTGATTAAAGTTGGTAGTATATGTACATAAATATTTAGGTTATACAAATAAATAACTGACAAAATATTTTATTAATTATAATTTATAATTATATTATATCCAAATAACAATTTTTTCAAATAGAGAGCGACTTTTTTCCACAAAATCAATTTCATAATAATTCTAACATAGCAGAAAAATTATTATGATGCTAATTTATTTATTTATACATAAATAAAAACATAAATAATTTTTATAAGCCAAATCAAAATGGTTGGATTTTTAAAATATAACAACATAAAAATCCTAATGATATTTTCAACCTAACAATAAATAATACAATACCTAAATTTAAAAAATCTATACTACATAATGGTTTCTACATTTATCCAACAAAAACACCAATTTAATACCAATGCCCATATTATTAATGTAAATTGAGGATAAATTTGTAGTTAATATAATATTTCTGTCATAGGCAAAATAATTTTTTCATTTAATATTTAAAAAAAATTTAAATGTATTAATTGGTTATTAAGTTAATATTATTTCATTATAAGCTTTCAAATGTGTACTTAATCATTGTTTATTTGTATTTTTACCGCAGTCCGTATAAGTTTCCAAAAATCACTGTATATACTTATATCTACAGAAAAAAAAAACAATGAATGCAGACAGGCGATTGGAATTTTGTAGATAATATGTGTAAAACCACCATGTTTAATGATTTTAAAAATCCAAGTATTTGTGTATATTTTAAATTTATATTCATATGTATAAACAATACATTTACATACGTCTTTACAGTCTCAACAATATATATTTTACATTTTTATGGACAAAATATAATAATCTATATTAGAACATTCTTTGTTATGTACAGCAATAATAAGATATATGTATATATTTATATTATAAAAAATTAAATTAAAAATAATAATAATAATAAAAAACAACATAATTCAACTATCTTAACAAACAAACAAACAAAACATTATAATTTATACAAATTTTGTGGCATTATGGATAGAAATAAAATGATAAAGAATTGCTTTTTATTTACCAGATAATAGTGTAGAGTAGAAGACGTGAAAATGATTTGGCCCCAGATGTAAATGTAGTAACAGTTATATTTTTAGTTAAAGAAAAAATAATACTCAAGATCTTCAGACAATAATTTTAACAATATTAAAATACATGCTAATTTTAATTTTTTTTTACAAGACAGAATTTTGAAGAATAATAATTACACAAGATTTTCATTCATATAGAGGTTAGTTAATTAAGCAATAACAATAATGACTACAATAACTTTGATATTCTTATAATTTCAATTACTTAAAATTTTAAAGAAAATATTAGGAATAGGTATTAATAACACAATAATTTGTTATCATCAATGAATTCTATTTTGAGTTTGTTTTTTATGGAATTTAAAAAAAAAACACTGTATATCCGTACATATATTTAGTCCATTTAACAAATGAAATATAAAATAATTAGACATGTATAAATTTATGATTGAAATACTGGGAATTTAATTTTGACATTGAATAATATAAAAAGTTTTTTTGTTAATTGTATAAAAACAAAATAAAAAACTTTCATAACTAATGAATTTAATTTATCAAAACTAATAATTTTTCTTTTAAAATGGGACTTACTAAATCTTTTATGTTATGTGTATTATGTTATACAAAAACATAATATTTAATATTAAATTTTATGTGTAATTATAAGATATTTGTAAATTAAAATGTGCACCTATGGCTAAACAATATATAAATGTTAGTTGAGGTTAGTAAGCATAAAATATATTCTTTTTTTGGAGAAAAGAAGAGAACATTTTTAAAATTATATTGCTGCAAAAGGTATGTCATTTTTTTGTTTAATGATATTTACATGGTTACGAATTTACGATAATATATTTTTAATATACTTGCCACTATTTGATAAAAATAAGTTTATTGAAAATAATCAATAAGGGAGATAAATAAATGTGAGATGTTGTTCTGTAAAAACATTAATTCCCAAATAGAATATATTATTATAAATTAATGTTATATAAATAAAAATTACATAACCTAATATGTTTAAATCTTTAAAATGTGCTTTAGGGAGCAATTTCGAAACAATAATTTTTTTTTAAAAAACATAATACTAAAAATGAAGGTAAAGGTAACTAATCAGTTATAACAAACATTAGAAAATATTTACAAAAAGAATTAGATTAACTATAACATAACTTATTCAACTTAGAATATAATGGATAGTTATTGTTTCTGGGGTTTTGTGTGCACATTTAAAGGTACTTGTGATTACTTAAAAAGCTCTTGCTCATAAAAACAAATTTTTGTTTAGTTACAAAAATATAGAATTAATAAGTAAAAAATAAAAATTATGTTTTAGAAGATTTATTATTAATTTTATTCCACTTTCTTTAAATAATAATAGTCAAAGAAAAAAAATGTCTTAAAAATTGTAGGAATGGTAATGCCGTCTTAAGCCTTAAATATATCATACATTGATATCACTGATAAAAAAAAAAAACTGACAAGCGTGTAGGCCATACACAAGTCAACTTGACGCATGCTTTCTACATAATTTGTCTAATTGTGAATTTTTAAATATTACCAAGTATTTATTTAACAAAATTAATAATTTTTATAAAAATGTTGGAATATATTTCTTATTTATTAAAATTATAATTTTATTAAAAACCGGTTACACAATCATTGGATTTTCATAAACTAGTAAAAAAAAAAATTGGGAGAATCTAAAAATATAAAAAAAGTTTTTCATTTATTTATTTATCAGTTTAAAAAATGATGTATGTATAACTATTTCTTTTATCTATTCAGTTAACTTGTTTGAAACGCAGTTTATCTTCATAATATAAACTAATTAAAATGTATTGATAAAATCATTAAAAGAACAATATTTGTGATAATGTCCAATACATTTATATGAACATTAACTATTGTTATAACTAGGAAGAAATAATACTGCTTGTATAGTGTATACTGTGGAGATAACTCACATAATCATTCAAAGGAGCTTGGTTTCAAACAGACACAGAATACAAATTTACAAACATGTTTTTATCTTTGACAAAATCGGTTAGATAGCATACAAAAGCCATATATTGTAATTGACTTATTACTTTAGAAATATATATAAAAACATGTAATATTAACTTTAAAATTATAATACATCTAATGGTTTTTAAATAAATCTATGACATTATATAAAATTACAGTGGACAAATCAACAAAAAAGGATATCAATATACGATTATATTATGTATTGTTTAAATTTTTTCATGGAGAAAAATAATATGAAAAATGTAAT